ATCTGACAATGAGTTAGAAATTGAACAACTCGATATCGATCTATGGACTTTTCCAAAATATAAAATTCATATTACGCTTAAGTTTATAGTTCGTTGAATATTTGCTACAAGTTTTTTATTGCGACATACGTCGCAATTTCATTAATTGATTAAAACGCAATGTAATTTCGTTCAAAATTAAATTTAGTATTAAATTTTGTATCAATAATTAAATTCAAGTAAGGATTAATAAGATTTTAATAAAATTTTATTAGATTTAACTAAATATTTAAAATCGAAAATAATACGACTTATGTATCACAATGGATTATCTTCATTTATTAATGTAACATATGTATAAACGATATAAAGCTCTTTAAATTTATATTTTATAATTTCTAATATAATTTCTATAAAATTTCCTATTGTAAATCTAAAATTGAGAAGTCCTCAAATTAAAAAAACATTAAATATTATTTAATAGTGTTACATTTTTTATACCATTAATTAACAATTATTAACGATAGATAAACCGTGATCATGCTTTAATATTAAAATTAATATTTAAGTACTAATTTCTTTGTCTCCCTCTCTCTCTCTCTCTCTCTCTCTCTCTTTAATTATGAAAAGCATTAAACAAGATGCTTCGATTCTACAAATGTTTTAAACACGTGACTATTATTAATGTCGAATACAATATATGAAAAAAGTAAAGCTTATCTTCCTGGCGATTGAAAATTTGTCCCTGATAGGACAAAAATCAGTTGAGGGAATTTCTCAATAAACCCTCCGACCTCTCTTCCGGTGGTCCGCCTGGGTCTGCCCGACCTAGTTTTCCCCGGGCAATGACGTCGGTATGACGTCACGGGGACGCAAACTAGGTCGTGGGGTCGAAGTACCCTATCGACTTCCCGTGGATACTTGTCCGCTTGCTCGGTCGCCCGATTCATTGAAAAAAAGGAGCGTGATTAAAATGGTTACTATCTGTCGAAGTGGGACGTTCTCTGTCCGTATGTCTGTCCATTTATCACCTATCTAATTGAGATTTGATCCTTGTAACAAGAAAAACAAAAACATTAATGTTCACCTATTTTACATTCACATAACATACTTTATCATCACATTAAATGATTCATTCATTTAGCAGAATTCGCGAGAAAGTGAATTATACCCTGATATAATAATAATAATTAAGTTTTATCTTTCATGTTTCCCTCAAAATAATAACTTCGCTTAAGTAATTTCGTAATATGATGGAGAAGGTTCCAATTATATACCTACATGCACGATTGCACACATTGCTCGCTGATTGGCTAACTTAAAAATAATATAATCTCATTAGTAAAGCAATGAAAAGTTACTAGGCACCGGCTAATGTGAGAGGTGTGTGCAATCAGGATTGTAGGCAAACGGGATCCTCCCAATATGATGTACATATAATTTGTACATCTCAGGACTATGTCATTTTGATCAAAAAACGACCAAAGCTTAACATCTATTTTTGATATTGTGTATGTAAGAGATTAATTACAATTTCGTTGTACAGTAAACTGTTTAAAACTATTTTTACGCCAATGTATTATATGTCGAACGAAAATTGCATGGATAAAAATTCTTATGTTAGGCCTCTGGCCTGTGTTATACCTCTCCCATACGTTTGTGATGTGCACGCTGCTTATTCAATTGTCACAAACATATAGGATCTACAGTTTTACTGATAGATAAAAATTATTCTATCTTATCCAAGGCAAACATTAAACTTCGTTTGCGTCCTTTTTTTAATTTTTTCCATTCTAATAATCTGATTTATCTTGCGATAGTTCGCAGAATCGCGAGATCAACAGCATTTATTAGCTTAGTGTGCATTTATACGAGCACATTATAGGTATATATTCCTCATCACTTGTCAATCGAACAAAAACAGAAGCATTCGAATGACACTACATATCCCTCGATCTTCTCACCCCCTTATGGAGTCCGGTCTAGTCTCGAACATGATTTGACGCACGGCAATAGTCTTCCATTTCAGCCGCGAGGACGACTGTAGAAGAAACGGAGAGGGAGAGAAATACTTTGTAAGGAGAGAAGAGAGAATCATGCTGAGATATGCGAAAGAATGGTGGCATCGACAAGCGTGTGCGCGCGCTCGTGTATATGTATTTGTGTAATGGTGGAGAAGGCGAAGGGTGAGAACGGCCGATATGAGAAACGGGAGGGCAGGTCGGTGACGGCTATTTTTGGAATGTGGGTCACCCATAAACCCCGGCTTGTCCCGTGACGTCACGGGATCGTCGTCGTGGCAACAGGGACGCTGGGTCGATCACCTCTCCAGTTCAACTCTCCTTGTTCCCCTTTTACTCTGCGTGATTCGTCCGAGCGCACCACATTCAACCTTATCGTCCCACCCCCAGGGGCTCTACCTGTAACTCCCACCAAAGAGGGAATAGGTTAAAGGTTACGACATCGATTGTACACGCATCAGGAAACCTGTCTTTTACCCTCCAGCTCGTGCCCTTCTTTTTCCTTCCGTCACCTTTTGCATATACACGTATAGGTCCGTCCTCTTTGCTCGCGTTGCATTTTCATTGTACAGAATTTAGGCTCTAATATCAGAGGTGAACGTCAGGCAAGGTGATTGTATATAGGGCCGATTAAGCAATGCACGGACAATATGCCAAGTGTATAATTCTGATCTTGATATTAAGCGACTAGATTTTACGGTCAATGTGAACACCATAAACTTCAATAAGGTTAATTATTTAAGTTTAAATTATTGGTTACGAAGTGACTCGAAAAATTCATTAACACCTCTTCATTTATACCGCGGATATTATTTTGGAAGCGTCTTGTCGAAGAAAATGTTAAAATATTGATCTTGGTAATTAGGGGAGAAAAAAAAATTACATTTTACAAGATCACCGCATGCGTCGTAAAATCAACTCTTCTTTGCTTTATTTTAATTAACAAAAACCTGTTATTAGCAATAACAGCGACACTTAGAGCTTATTGATAAAAACCTACAATATTGCAAGCTTCATCAGACGTCACCGCGACACGGTCAGTTGCAATGTATACGCATATGAATTGAGCATTTCGCAGCAGTGAACAAATTTTGAATTACTTCGTAAGTTCTCGCCATCTTCTCGACTACGCAGGATCTACGTTTTATATATTCTACTGCTACAACTTCACAGAGACCTGTATTATCCGTTCCAACTAAACTGTCCGACCAAGTCTCGATATGCACATACCACGTACTTATCCACGCGCGCGCTTTCCACTTATGCATTTTTTCCTTCAGTAAAGTTTTGATTCTTCGGAGTTCGATTGAATCGCGATGCGAGTGAAAGGCACGCAAACAGGATGTTTTTACAATAAGAAATATTGTAATATGTAAAATATCAATAATATTCACAATGAAGAAACGTTACCGATAATGAAGTTTACCGTAGATAAGTTATCTGTGATAAACGTGCGACGTAACATCGACACGTGCCACATGCCTGACTTGGCGGGATTGTCCTATTTAATCTTTCTCTGTTTTTGAGATAAATTAATTATTGTAATTTATTTTATTTTTTTCTTAAATTACAATTTTTCTAATTTATGTAATTTTCTTGTTAAGAAATAAATTTGAAGGACCATTTAATTTTTTTCAATCCTTTTTGTTTTTATTCTCTAATTATCCTAATACAATAATTATCATTTCTTGTTTGTTGCTATTAATTTGATAATAGAATTAGAAATATAATAATTCAAACATCTAATATTGCAGATGAATTTATTGACAAGAAATTAAAAAAATTAAAACATTGTAAATTGTATTGCAGTTATTATACATAGTGAACTTTTTTAATTTTTTGTCAATAAATCCATCTGAAATATTGGATGTTTGAATTATTATATTTCTATCTAACAATAGTACGTTGTTAGACAATGCGATGAGAGCCAAATTTTAGTTGTTACTTTTAGAAGTTTAAAAATGATATATAATATAAGTATAATTTTAATAATTCTCTCTCTTATAATGATGCATCACGCATAATATGATAAGGTGCAATATATATAATTGTAATATAAACTGCAATAAAATATACACAATATCTACCGTAATATAATATTACAATCCTTGTATACGAGATATGAGTATTATATGCATATCGATAAAACAATGAAGTCATACACTAATATTTACAAATGTAAATTATTATTAATACTAACATTCTATACGAGTAACTCTGTAGAAGACATTTGACAGTTTTTGTATAATAGATAAGAGATGTTTAACAAGTCCTTCATAACACGTGGAACTTCTACACTCTCGAGCCAAGAGTTTCATTGAAATTCATTGATGACATTACGTCGATATGATTGTGTTACGTTGGGGACGCGTCGACGTTTCCGTCATCATTACCGCGTTTAATGCCAGCAGCTACAAGTACGAGAAATTTAGAAAGTGTCGATAATATTTTTTTCTCACCGAGCTCTTTAGACGAGACATTAATAATTTTTACAAGATTTGAGACATACTTAAGCTTCTTATATTTGTTGCATCTCGCTGAACAACGTGTATTCGACTTGAATAATGTATCCTTTATGTTGGAACATTCTTAAAGAAAGAAATTTAGGTCAACTAATAAATAAAAGGGTTAAAATTTAAAAATTAAAATGGCACGACATTATTTAGATGACTTTATACAAATACGTGTAAAATATATGTATTTACTAAATACTGTTTCTTTGATTAGAAATTCTACTAAAGTTAGTAATATCGTTTTGATAACCACATTTCAATTAATATCCAGTGTTTGAGGGCGATCGAGTTCAAGAGAGCTCCATTCTTGCCACATTACAGTCGCGGTAATAAGATAAACGAAATCAGAAGGCGACGCGGCGAACGAACGGCTTAGCGACCAAGCGAGCTCGGCTCCGTTTTCAGTTTCTGAATTATTTTTGGCAACAAGCAGAGCGGGCAGAGCTCTCGTCTAAAAATGCTTACGACCAATGGCACACCGTCATTGGTCGTACTTGTACCACGTGAACAGCCTATGTTGGAGGTTCACAAAGTCGATTAAGTATCCACGATGGTACAGTCAGCTGCCTAAGGTCCAGTTGGCCAGTCGCAGCCAGCGAGATTTCTCCATAAGGTAAGCCTACTTCCTGTAATCCTCCTGATTGTTCTTGCCATTATCGCAGCACAGGAGTGTCTCGAAAGGCATCGACCATCTCTGTTCCTCAGGAGGAAGTCCGGAGAATCTTTGGATAGGGGGAAAAAAAAAATGGAAAGATCAATTTCTTCTTCCAGGAACGAGTTGTTGCTCTTGAAATACTATTTCGATGTTCGAGGATAATCGTTGGGAAGTTATCGTGTGTCAGTGAAACGAGTGGCTGTATGAAAGATACTTTTCAAGGTTATGACGATTGATTTGCTCAAGATCTTCCGAGATAGTGACTGATCGGCGAGCATCAACGAGCAATCGCTCGTCTTGAAAGTGACGCGAAGTTGAAAGTGATAGACGCGAGAAATTATTCAGTTTATAGGCTCGACTCAACTATTGACCGGTGTTTAGGATACTTCGGCAAAATACGCGTGCAATCTTTCTTCAATCTTCTTCCTCTCATTTTAATCTTAATTAAAAGTATCTCTTGTAAAATTTTAGTTTCATCAGTGAATAGTATTAGATTATTATTGTAACCATTAGTTTACAATTAATTTTCTTGAAACTTGTAATTCTTCAGTGTAAAGAAAACATCTATCGATCTTCTTTCTTTCATACTTTAATCTTAATCAAGGAAGTCGTAGAATTTTTAACTAGATCATTATCATTATTATAATTATTATACTTTACAATCTTTCTTAAGATTTATAATTCTTGAGTGCGTTCGGAGAGATGCTAGCTATTTGCGCCATTTTATCTTCATCGTTTATTAGACGTAAAACAAGCATACAATTACACAAATAGCGTTAATAGCGTCTCCCTGAACGCATCTATTAACGCTAAAAAAGCTTGTTTCAATTTTACTTCTTTTACATTTGATTCTTAACCAAGAGAAGTCATAGAATTTTTAGTTCTGTCAATGGATGGATTCAATCATTATCATCATCATGATCTTAATTATTATTTTGTCATCAATTAATTCCTTTTAAATTTGCAATTCTTTTTAAGATAAAGAAAATATTTATCTTCTTTAACTCAACTATAGAGAGAGGTTCAATAATGTAGAACTTCTCTTGAATGGGTTTTTTGCTCCTTTTTTACTTTAAAACGTATCATATAATTTAATGAGAGAGAGAGACAGAGATTTAGCGAGTCTATTTTTATGATACTTGCTTCTTTGATATCGGAGATGGTACGCGTCTCGATAGGATAGAACGTGTCTCGGAATGGTTCGAGTGCGAGGAAATCTATACTTAGCAAAAGGCGATCGTCTATAAAAGAAGGCGCTGCAGCAAATGCGAACAATTAAGGAACCAAGAAGAAAACTTGATTATCCCATGATTTTCATAAAATTTTAATATCTCTACGACATGTTCGTATATTGACACATTCGCTAACGTTATGTATGACATAATGCAATAAAATTATATTCTGATTATGCAACACTCGTTCGAATTTTACATTAATCGTGGAACGCTTTGTGTAAATTTAAAATATATATAAAAAAAGTATTATATATATAACATTTGCGAAAGAGATATTTTTAAAGAAGCTTATTTCTCTCTCTCTCTCTCTGAAATGAACGATAAAGTCATTTTGAAGTTAAGAGAAGAAACAATTAAATGAATCGTGATTGATGAACTTTTATTGGTCATTTTGAAACCATTTTGATGTTATAACGATTTTATGTCTTGAAAGTAGTCTGGTTAAGTATTTTTCTTAATTAATAAACAAAGATGACGAAATAACGAAATTATTCACGAAGAAATGACATATTATTCTGCAAGTTGCTAATGACATCTTGTTTCGCCGTTGCCAAGTGTTCGTCGCAACGTTGCGTCACGTTTCGCTTGTACGTTCCTAAGTATTTTCGGAATGCCGAGTGTCGCCGTAGACATGGTACGATCTATCTTCTTGAATGTTTTGGAGCTGCGACAAGCAGCGTGTCGTATAGTGAGCTCCGCTAAATGCGCAATTGTTATCTCCCTCTAACCGAATTGCACAATTTCGGATGTGCGCACAGAAGTTTACCTATATAAGTTACCTGTTTTGAAACTTCGTTGAGTCCCGCGCGCCTTGCCTCGCGGCAGAATGTTCTTTGGCGTGCCGATACTTTGCATCGCATCGGCACGATCCCACGACGGGAGATCTTGGCTGATCAGAGAGATCGTGTCTCATCGATATACGTGCGATATTTTCCCTCGTTAAAGCTCTTTCGAATGAAATGTCATTCGCAAATGGCGCGACATGCTGACGTACGATATTCATCGGCGAGCTTCCTCCTTTTTTCTTCTCCTCCCCTCCTCTCTCTCTCTCTCTCTCTCTCTTTTATATTTATTTCATGAGTATTTTATTTATGTTTTTTTTTCGTTTTTCCGATATTATTATTTTGCAAATTGCTCTTCTCCTTATTGTTATTTCATATTATTTTGATTATATATTCTTTATATATTTTTATTTTTATCACTATAATTTATGTATTCTGTTATTCTTAGCTCATTTATATATAACTTTATGTTTGTTCTTACAATTTGAAGGTTTGCCTTAGGGCACTAAGAAACGCACTACCTATCTATCAACATCCATCTTTCTCTTTCTAATCCTCTCTTGTAGAAAGAATTTCATGACTTTGTTTATCTGCTCGCCGTTTCGACATCGAATCCAGTTGAAGCCGTCGACGATAGGATATCTACCGTGGTCCTTGCATCCAAATTTGGATCGTCGACGTTACCCGACGTTACTGACGACGGCACGTCGCAGAAAGTGGGGACGGCCGGCGTCTATTTTCGCGCGCCGGATATTCTATACCATCGTCGCGTGCGAGAGAGATGAGAAAGACGATTTGTGCTCGCCTTTTCGTCCTGTTGCGCATTAAGCAGCGAAATCTACGCGCGTAATTTATCGACACGGGGCAGACAAATCGATCATGCTTGTCGAAGACTCGTTGGCGATCAAATTTTTAGTTATCTGATTGGTATTTCCGTGCGCTGAACATGAGCGCGCTGACGAACTTTTATTATTATAATATCATCATTTACCGTTGACATCATTCCAATGGTCTGTTTTTTGTTTTTGCATTGGAATAAATAAATAATGTCTATCTCACTTTAAGTTTCAAAAGTGTTCAACAATAGTTCAGCCATAGAAAACAGATTTTTTTTTTGTTCGCGTTATTTGCGCGTTTTATTAACGCGCATCGCGAAAAAGCGTGAAAACGTTTAAAGATCTCTGAAGTATGCATGCGCAAATACTTCACAAAACGATGTTCGATCAAATCCCAAGTGATGCCAAGGAATTGCAATTGCATTCAAGCAGAGCAATAATAAAGGGCGCAGTAACGTCAAAATGACATTAAAATAAATCATCCCTGATCGAAAAGTCACTTTTAATATTGTATTATATTGATAATAAGATAAAATTATTTTAACACCATTTTAATGTTATGACATTTCGTTCCATTTCGGCAAGCGCTTTTCAAGTAGAACAGATCACGATAATCTCATTTTGACGTTAAAATGAATCTTGATTGATCGAAAAGTGACTTTTAATAATCAAAATAAAAAATAAAATAATATTTATATTTTTCTCTTCGATCAATCAATTTTTATTTTAATATCAAAATGACATTGTTGTGACCAGTTTCTGCTCGGAAGATGTCTGCCAAGCAGAACAAAATGTCATGATAACATCAAAATGGCGTCAAAATACAAATTTTTATTGTAATAATTATATTGAAAATTTTGATGTTATTTTGATGTATAAATATAATACTTTATATTTGAGTTATTTATTTTAACGACCAGAAAGATTTAACCCCCCTCCCCCCTCTAGTCGTTAAAATGAATTATTAGCGACTATTAATAGCATGCTGGTATACCAAGGTTTTTAGCTACTGTACATACATGACACTAAAGTTTATATCATTTTATATTATTTTTTTTTAGGTAGACGCGCGTAACACCAAGGCATCACCATGGCGGACGACGAGGTTAGGTGTGTATTCGGATCTGGAGTCTTCTTCGTTATGTTTAAAAAATTTTTACTCGTCATTTAAAAGCTCGACGATCGAGGAAAGACCACGGCATGCAGGTTTCGTAAAAACCTGAACATATCTTAACGTTACGTTCTTTTTTTCATATTACACCTTCGATGGATCTTCGCCATTGTTGATTTTGGCCACAACTTGGACAACGAAAACGTTGAATATCACGCACATAATACGTGTTGGACTCGTGCAGTGAAATTATCATTACTGTTAAAAGGTATGCATTGTTTGTGCTTTCTGTAATTCTGTGAGAAACCGCTAGTATAAAATGTAGTTTTACCTAAAGATAGTATAGACCTTGTCAATAAAAATAGAACAGTGGTTCTATTAAATGTTACTATTGCGAATCTTTCGATTCGCCTTGTGGAAAAGTGTATTTGATGGACTTTAATTTCAGTATTGATGGAAAAATTAAGCACACTACTTTTTAGAAATTATTATCATTAAGCAAATTAAATTTAAAATTAATTTATATGATTTAATATATTTATAGGATGTTCGGTAATAAATAGAAAAAAATTAATGTAATTTCTCATGATTTCAATTTATATAATTTATTATCTAGAAAAACTCCATAAATTTTTTGTTACCTAATGCTCTAAAGATTAATTTATATTTATACTTAATTTTACAATTTTTATTTCTAGATAATAATGCCAATTGTGTATTCACATTTATAACAAAGGACATACTATTCCAAAAAAATAAAAAATTCAAATACACATTTCTATGAATAAATAATTTTCCCTCAATATACTGTACTTCTATAATATCAAGCTTTTATATGTAAAGCTCCGAGGACTTCAAGCAGACCGAACCTCGTTTTTTTATCCTACAGTTTTTGAATTTTGAAACAGCTTTTAGTAGAGGATATAGATGGTGGTCAAAGATGAACCACATAGTTTGTGCGCCCTGAAAAAGATTTATATGTATATATGCTACGTAGAATGACGAGGCGATCACGGAAGCTCGCTTCTCGTCGTGATTATATCCTTCGCTCTTCTTTTTCCCTTTGCAAGAAACTTTCTACGATCCCCCAATATTCCTCGGTCGTTTCATCCCCTGTTGTACCTTTATTTTTCATTTATTTCTAGTTTGGTATTCTTTTCATTCTTAATATTTCATTTTTCTATCTCGAAGAAAGAGATCTTGGAAGATTCTTGAACGGAAATTTTCCACCAGTTTGGTGACTTTTCTGCATTCTTATAAATAATAAGCAATTCATTCCCCACGCTCTTTACCTTGATGATAGTGACATCATTCCTACGTAATGACCACCTCGTGGACGACAATTCTTCGTTTGTGCAGTGGGATAGTGGTTTTCTTTCGTATAATGAAGCCAATTTGCGCGGCGCAAATGTAAAAGTTAATGAAGGTTTTTGGACCAGTGCGGAGTAGGGAACATATATTCCGTAAATTTCACCGTAAAATTTCCGCTCTGTAGGAAATGGGAAATGGGACTAGTCGACTATTACGACCGACATGTCCGTTGTCTCCGTTATATGCTCTATGCCCCGACTTTTTTTTCTGATTTATCGTTACACTCTCGCCCTTATTTCGACATTATTTAACGCGGATTTGGACTACGTTCCGAATCTCTTTGTCTTACTTTATATCTCTTCTTTCTGCTACCCGAGCAAGCTATTTGTCATTCGCGTTATCCTTACGGAAACAGTCTTTCCAGATTTTCAATTGTGAATTTCAGTCCAAGAAGATCTGTGATCTTGATTCATTGATCTTCGTGTATTGTAATAATCGTATTTTATTCTACTTTTATCACCCTCTATATATATATATATATATACCTTTCCAAATCGATTTACCGTTTCTGTCCTCTGTTTCTTTCTTAGATTATACTTATAAAACGATTCATCCACTTGTCACGTTTTCATTCCTTCCGCTCACGATGACACGAAGAAGACGAAATTTTGTCTTCAAAATGAGAAAATATTTGATATTTGTCAGTACCAATACATATATCACGAAGCAAATTCAATGTACTCAATGAATAACAAAACGTCTACCGAAGAGATCGGTAGAACTTCCATTTACTGATTAAAACTGTTATATAAACGCAGTTTTGTAGACGGTTCATTTATTTAGAGTCACGAGCGATAATTTAACAAGTCAATGCAGGAAACGTCTGTCTTACACAAACTTTCTATTGATAATTACGAAGCTTGTATCGTACAGACACTACATCAAATGTACAATTAAAGTTATTTCAGTTTCACCGTTGTTTAACGGTGTACAGAATGTTACAAATTCCTATATAATAATTAAAACTATGCGTTATAAATGATTCTTGTTCTTTGCTGTGCCATTGTGAGCAAATTCACAGTATCTTTTTCATAAACAGTGTCTTTGCTTTTTCTTCGATTGAAATTAATTGGGAAGCTGTTATATAATAAAAGTAAAATATAAAACTTTCGAGAACGCGCACCATCCAAACATAAAATGATCAAACAAATCTGGGGTAAAGTAGATATGTAATGTGTATAAATCGCATGTGGAGTGATTGTTGTCTTCAGGCTCTTCTTTATAGTGCTATACGTCTCTCTAATGCTTCATTTTTCTTTCATTATAAATGTATAAGTATGTGATACATCTAATATCACCACGGAGTTTATGCGCAGCACGCACCGTATATAACAGTACCTATATAAAATTTAAATCGGCACTTTATATTGAAGAAATTTGAATAAAAATGCATAAAGGAAGAAAAGAAAAATCGTTACATTTTTATTCGCATCATATAATCGTCAATTATTTTTAAGAGTAGTACACGTCGCGGTGTTATTATAACGTCTTTTCGAAATGTTAAGTCGTGTACAGTCGTGTTACAAAATTTGCATGTTATCGCTTCTCTGTTATATGCAACTACAAAATATTTTGTTGAAGAATTGAAAAATTTACCTGAATACAAAGCTGAAAATAATTATGTAGGATGCTTAGCTAGTCACCTTTTTTCTACATAAACGTTTACTTGATAACTTTAAATGTAATGAATGATGCTGCAAAAAATTGATACTCTAATAATCATCTTGAGTGTCTTACATAATTATTTTAATGGATCAGAGTTAGTTTCAAATTAGTCTTTAGCTAATTTTTTAAATACTTGAGCAAAACACTATTCTTTTCTTGTACGATTTACTTTTGATCCAATGACACACTGCGTCAGTTGGTGGTAAGATCCGCGCACAGCTTGTAGAAGGTAGAGCTAATGGTCGGCCGAAAGTGCCGCGCGTAATGTCATAAGCGAAAACGCGGCAGTTTGCGCAAAACGATATTACAAGATGCTCGCTGGGTACGCCGTGTTGTAGCGCTTAACAACGACAAAGTTATATCACTTAGGACAGACTCCATTAGCTCTGCATCGCCATGAAACACGCGAAAACACGGTCGCTACGCTAATGCTTTGTAAGGTATTCGTTGATGGCGAAATCTGGAACACTGCGAACGCAGTAATCTTTACTTCCTCTCTAATTCTCTCGCGTTCTGTCGCTCTTTCAACGTCTCCTTGAAAAATCTCCTTTTTCACAGTCGAAAGGATCGCGCTCTGCAAAAAGTGTTTCAGATATCGCCGTACGTGCGACCCATGACACAGAAAATATACTAACGAGGAATGTTCTTTTTTCTCTTTTTTTGCAGAGAAAGCGCATCGAGGATGTACGTAAGAGAAGAAACTAGCTATGAAACGTAGGGTCGCCTCTTAAAGGACGACCACTTACCAAGCGGATGAAAGAAATTCTTTCATCGAAACAGGGCTTACGCTCGTTTTATTATAAAAATAAAACTCATTGCAAATATTTCAAATTAATTTTGTGAAAATAATTAGAAACCATGGCGTAAAACGTTCCTTGAAATAAATTTGAAATATATGTTTATGTCTTTTATACAACAAAAAACTTTAATGTTCACTGATAGAGTTTAATCGATAGCCCTAGATGTAATAATGACAGAATTCTAGTGTTTAGAAAAGTTATTATTTTTCTTCTAATATATATTTTTTACTAAGAGGTATAAATTATATATTAATAATAATTTTCTAATATAACTTATTTCCGAAAATTTGTACTGCAGTAATTATAAATTTTGTAACTAGCTCTTTCATTTAAGACTTGAGAAAGTCAACCTCGAAAGGCAGAGAGATAGGGGTGCGAAAAATGTTAGAGTTCGTATTGCGCAATACTTTTCGAATTCGCGTTCCACGAGACGCTTCGGGGCTTTCTCAGATGAGATGTTTTAAGGGAGTTTCGCACGAAAAATGCAGGAAAAGAAGAGGAAACAGGCGGAGACCGAGAGGAAGAGGGCGGAGGTCCGCGCCCGCCTCGAAGAGGCTTCCAAAGCCAAGAAGGCGAAGAAGGGTTTTATGACCCCCGACAGGAAGAAGAAGCTTAGGGTAAGTTCGTTTTTTGTTTCTTCTCTTTTGAATCTCGTTCGTACGACCAAGTGCGTTCTCCCAGGTTATATCCTCTTTAAAAACTCGCGGTAAGTCACTTTGAATTTTTCGTCATTTTTTTATCGTTCATTTTATTAAATGATCGCATATATATAGTGAGGAAAACTCTATTTGTCATCAAAGAAAATTATATAAAATTAAATGAAATCATGTAATCTCTCCGTGGGACAGTATTTCAGATAATGTGGTTACCCCCTCGCAACTAACCTTTCCTCGCGTTCTCGATTTAACCCGATTGCCTCATCGCACGCCACAATCTTCTCCTGCATCGCGATAGGTAATCATCCCTGCACTCTCTTTGTAAATATTATATTTTTCGTAACACATCCATTTCTCTGTTACTTTCTCTTATTCTTCCCGCGCTTCCCTCACTTTTCATATTTCAATGTTCTGTTTCCCAACAGCGCGCGGAAACGTTCGAAACTTCCTCAAGTTTTATCTCGCCTCTTTACCTTTACTTTATGGTCCCGCCTTACGTTCGCCATTCTATATCCATCGTCGTGCTACATCCTACAGAACATCCATGTATCTCTCCCTCCACGTTTCTTTTCATGCACCGTCGCAAACATTCGTAGTCGCAGTACGTAAAGTTTCCGCGTGTGTATGTAGATTACCTCTTGGAAAATCTTTTTGCGTCTGCTAGCCCCGCCGGCATGTTATTTTCTCGTAAATCCTCCTTCCTTCCTTCCTTACTTTCGCTGCGTCAATATTTGCTACCCCGCCGAATTCCAACCAACGTTATCTCGTTGACCAAAGGAGAGAAAGGCATTAGCTGCGAGCTTAAATTATTTCGTAAGTAAACCACGAATAGTAATGTTTCTCTCGAGCATTGTGAGCTTAGCACGTATGAATTTACTTCCGTTTCACCTTTGTTATTGTACAACGCATATCCGGAGACACGGTAGTGCCTCGGCACTATATAGACGCAAAGATTATAATTATATCTCGTTGCACTTAAATCTATTCGTCTTAATAATCATTTTAATATATAATTAACCGATAATTGAAGTGTATATATATATAGGGCATATTCATTAAATAAATGTAATAATAATCCACTTCATTGCATATAGCTGAAATCGTTCATACGATTTATATAGTCTATTACTGAATATGCAAATTTAATTTCCATTTAAATCATGTCAATTTCATGCAACTAAAAATCGATTCGTTGGTGAATCCTGTAAATATTTCAGAGTACATTTTTCTGAAAAAACTTCCCTCTCATTTACTTACGAAATATTTTTTCCTCCTATTGAGCCGAACTTGACGAATTTTTCATATATTTACAGTTGCTGTTACGTAAGAAAGCCGCCGAGGAATTGAAGAAAGAGCAGGAGAGAAAAGCGGCCGAAAGGAGACGCATAATCGAGGAACGCTGCGGAAAGCCGAAGATCGTCGACGAAGCCAACGAAGGTACTTTGCTTTGTTACGTAATCCTACGAAATACTATATTTATAATGCATTCATATTTAGCAGAGATATTTTCTGTATTCGAATACAAAGTTCGCGTTGCCCTGAATAAAACTATACGTTTATCTTAATTATTCAATTAGCAGGAAGAATCATTGCACAGAACAAGAATTTGAAATACAATACCGACACTTGCGTGAACTACAGAAATAATTTTTACGAATTTTATTTTTAACAATAAATATTATTTCTTAGATACGATCTCTGCAATAGTCTTTATTCTGGCAAAATTATATATAAAAAATATGAAATTTTTGATCAAGTCACAATAATTAATGATATGCAGTGTTTATCTTCAGTTTCACAGGTCAAAATTTTATCTTATCACATTTCCCATCGTGCTTCAATCATCAATCATTTTTACAATTTGTTAGTAAATTTCTTTTCGAAAATATAGCGCATGCGATTGAAAGTATAGTAATTGGTATAAGATTTTCCAGATTTAATTATCACATCACTAAAAATTTCTTAAAAAACAATTGTTCAATTTTAATAGAAAAAGAAGTGTGAAAAAGTACAATAACCGAGACACATTTCAGACGAATACGCGATTTGCGCGATGTTTTACATGCGCGTCTTTATTTTGTTTTACATTATTTTGTTTCTGATAAACTACACAGAGACCATAAAGCGCGTGCTGCGCGACTACCACAATAGGATCTCGGCATTGGAGGATAAAAAATTTGACATCGAATATGTTGTTAAGAAGAAGGACTTTGAGGTACTTTTGAGAGAGCAACAGTTGCGAGAACGTTCACGCGATATATGATAACGCGGCACTCACGATACAGTAATAACGATGTTCAATGTTGTTGCACTTGTGTAACGCACCGATCTCCGCCCCGTTGCACATTTACGAAAAGCGACGACAAAATGTAATTAGAGTTTTGGCAAAGAGACCACCGCCATGAGATTACCGATTGCACAATTTTATGCAACATCGACTACATTTAGCCACACGCGCTAAAAATAACACATACCGAAGTAAATGACGACGAACGATAAAAAAAAAATAGAGCAATTTATTATAGATTCTTAAGAAGAAAAAAAAATGAAGCAATTCAGAGACTTTTAAAATAGAAATAATAAAATCGAAATATTATTTTGGCTACAGTCCCGACCAAAAGTATTAAGCATTTTTTTAAATTGATTTATAGTATTTGTTGTAAAAATTATTCTTCTCATTTCGAGACTCTTTAAACTTTATTATGTATAACGCTGCTAATCAATAGGAAACAATATATAGAATATCTAGAGTAAGAAATTCTAGATGAATGAAGAAATGTATGTATGTTGCTTAATACTTTTGTTCAAGATTGTACGATATTGCTACTATATTTATTTAAATATTTACTATTATTACAAAACGCATTGAAAAGCTTTCGTATTCATTTTAATGGGATTTGTCGCTTCGGTTTATGCGTCGCGGTTACTTTCATCAGCAATGAATAATCGTTATCGAGCAACTTCGTGAATGATTAACGGCTCTTTACTGAAACTTGAATCTTTCGTCGTAACTTTCGTTCTGCAACCGGGCAAGAGACACGAGCTTCGCATTCTTTCGTCGCACCGTTTTTCCATTCACACTTTTCTTTTCTTTTTGTTCTATTTCTTAAGTTACGTAACACAAAACTGTCGTCGATTTCTTTTGATTCTGTCCGCATCTGTTTTTTTCTTCGCATTAATATGCGCGCGATTTCTCATATTGTCTTCTGTCTCTCTCTCTTTCTCTCTCTGCTCTCTTCGTTTAATCCTTTGTTCATGAATCTCTGGCAAATTTAATGGCAATTTAAGTACACATTACGGATTATCCGCATCTTGATTATTGTATTAATACGGCTTGTCTCACTTACTTTATTTTCATACAACACGCACCATAATATTTTCTACTGATTGATTATTTACAAAAAAATTAATTATTTACAAAAAAAAAACTGATGCTTTACTCATTTTGCGAAGTATTGTATATTCACCGTTTCCATGTTACCGTTATTTTCGATCTATGCGCGAATATCTATGTGCATCTGTATCATCGCTCCTTGACGACAAGATTGTTTCAAATTTCGTAGTGATGTCTGCACTCGAAAGTCGTTTTTGGAAGACGGTTTAAGAGCTCGCTTCATTTCGTTCGCTGGAAACTTGAGACAGTCTTCACACCACTGCGAAACAGCGACAGTTTATAACATTTCGACTTAGCTTTCACACTATCGGTGTCTCACTCCCTCCCTCAAAATCACGCTTCCCACCTTCACCGTCGTTCATTCGAGTCATACACACGAAATATAACTTCTAATACATTTCTGATATATAAGTAGCGATATTTACAATCGATATCTACGACGTAAACGGTTAAGTCGCGAGCATTGTTTTCAAGAAGTGACTTAAATTTTAACAGCTACTGTGAAGTCCATTCTGACCCAGTATCATAAGAGGATCAACGTTCTCGAGGGGGAGAAGTACGACCTTGAGTACGAAGTCGCCAGGAAGGATTTGGAGGTCGAAAAAGTTTTTTTTTTTTACAAACAAGATGAGCTGCGATTAATGCCAATACTCTTTTTATCCTCTTTTAAAATTCTTTCTTCTTCTTACTTTTTTCCACGCGCGAAGCACATCTCACTATTTCTATAGCGATTGTTCCGATTTGCATACTCATAAGCTGTCCGTAATAATATTATTAAGCGTAGACATCGAATGGTATTTTCTCTTAGCAGCAGCTCCTAACGTAGCACCCCTCGCGACTCGTAGAATCGCTCAACGTAGATCTGTCTCAGTAACGTTGATTTCTCGCAATGAGTAGAAACTTTCTACTAGAAAAAGAACTTTCTTCACTTTATACTTGCGAGTCTCCGCACTACTAGACTCACGCCCTTCTTTCCACAATTCCTGTATTTCTCACCCCCGCTGATTTCCTTTCGTCGAATTTCTCTCATCTCCCACACTTGCATTCCGTGATAGGTTAATGATCACGCAATTGTCAGCTTCGTGCTTCTCGCTTCCAACGCGAAAGACTCATCTTCTTTTCTATTCTCCCCATGATAATTACATTCCTTTTCATAATAATAATCCTCTCTGTAGTATAATAAATATAAATCATCGCAGAGAAAACCGCGGGTCGTCACATGCATTATTTTTCATCACATTTTTTAACATCAGAAAGTTTTAAAAAAAAAATTTTAACGACGGAGAAATTTATTGATATCAATGAATTGAATAACAGCCGTTATAATTTTATATCTTTATGTAGTGCCGTAGTTGTTATTTTAATTCCCGCATTTTTTTTTTCTTATTTTTGAAGCTGAACAATTATAATATGATAACGAATTTTTAAGACAGCCGACGGCAAGGATGACAAAATACATTCAGCGGATTCCATTCTGCTCTCTTTTTTCCAATAACTTTTTGTTCTTTTAGCCGAGCTGCAGACGATCTGTTCGGCATATTGGAACAGACTATCCTTACTCGAGGGCGATAAATATGACCTCGAGAGGCAAATTAAGTTGAAAGAGCTGGAGGTAATTACGATCGGCTTGCCTAAAGAAGAGAGAGCCTGTCGAAGTCCACTTGCACAAATAATTTTTACCCTCTTCTTCCCCGTGCCCTTGTCCACATGATTTTTTAACTCCGCCACGTGCTTGACCGAGCGACATTCTTGGTCGAACGGTTTTCGAAGGCGTTTCTGGTTGACGGGTCTTTGAACCTTCGGTTCGAGCACGTTTGCACGTCTCTTAGATAGGGAAATGCCGCGAGACACTAACGTTCCAAACTCTCTATGAAACTTTGAGGACAGTTTGAAGGAACGTAACCAACATTAACCGTTTAATTTGCATCGCGCGAGCCTTAACGTTAACGTCCTTTTTTATTTTACGCCATTAGCTGTTGCAGCTGTTACTTCGACAAGACCAGACCGCATCGGAAAGTGCTCGCGCGCGAGCATGGGAAACACAAAAGCGAAATTTCATTTTCACTTAACACAATTTCATTCAAAATTGTCTCCTTGTCCAATTGTTTTAATCAGTTCCCAGGAAACACCAACATCAATATTATATTTTATTTCACACTCAACAACATAACGTACAACACGTGTTTATATGTTGTGTTGAGTGTGCAATTATAACATCGATGTGATGTTACTGTCAGCTGATGTTTACTGAGTTTGGATTAAAATTCGTTTAATTTTGGACAAGTAACCGAGCAACGGTAGAATAATAAAACTTTCGACAACATATCGTATGTTATTATCTACCGCGCATTCGTATCGATTTACTTTTCCGTTCATAGCGCTTTCAATCACGTTCAGGATAATCCGGGACGTGCGAATGGTCGAAGATCGAAGTTTCGAAGGTGTTCAGCCGAGACGGCGGCGCCGCGCATATCCTTCGCGATACATCCGGCAAGACCAACGACAGGGCGATCTCCATTTTCACGGAAAGGGACTTCTGAGCGGAATTACGCTCGCTTTACCGCGTCGAGGAAAGCACCTTGAGCTTCCCCGACGCGACGACGACGACGTTCCGTGCGATTAAGCATTCGAGCATCGCGCAACTTTTATTACCGCGCACGTGGAGCGAGAGAGGGATCGCCAATTTACTCGGATCGGAGATTTCGGAAAGTTTCGCTTGTTGCGAGATCAAGGGCTCTCTCATTGGGATTCTAGCGTCGTTTGTGCGGTGTACTATTAGTATTCGCGAGCCATGCGGTTTATATTCTTCGCTAAAATATGTAGGGCTGGGCTCACCCGCTTAGATTTATAAAGAAAAAGTCTTTATTTATTTACTAAACAATAATGTTGTCATCATTATTATTAATAACATTAATGTATATAAATTTGCAGCTATTTGTTACATATACGTATATTGGAAATTTGTGCCGAACTTGAATATTATATATTTTGTCCAAATGGTTTATCCAAATTTTTGTGTTAATTTAACATAGGACGGATATGCTAAGAACACAAATATTATGCAAAAAATTAACACTGACGCAATTTGTAAGCAATATTTCTAATGTGTCTACATTCACATCTTTCACAGTGAATTTAACAATTATGTTAAACTAACACATTTTATTTACAATATCAATTCTTATTGGAACGCTTAAATTTCATTTTATTTGTATTTATTCTAGAATTTACATTTTATAAAAATATACAATATTATTTTTATGTCATTTATCCATTTATCATATTATGTTAAATTAACACGTTCAGATATGTCAAAAAATTAAAAGACAAATTTTGACAAGGATTAATTTCAACACAAGTACAAAATATTTTTTACTGCGTACATTATTTTAAACCTCTAATTATTTTTATTTTCCACGTTTAATTTAATTTGAATATGATAATTTTCATTTTTTTTCGTGACTTGAGATTAGTGGATGATCCTAGCTCTCATATCACACGTCGCTCGCGATCGATCGCATGCTAGAGCTGTCTGTCTCTCACTCCACCTGTGCTCCCTCAGCCGCCTATAAGCTGTCAGAAAAAAAGCAAACATATCCAGGAACCAAAGATTTCTGAGAGACTCTCCGTATTCTTTGTAGTGGAGTTGAAGAAGATTTGCCAAATGTATTACGACCGCGTCTACCTTTGTGAGGGTCAGAAGTGGGATTTGGAGCGTGAAGTTCGGAAAAGGGACTACGAGGTACAGGAAAAGTGAAAAGCAGCGACAACGGCGAACAATGCGAGGAGAAAGAGAGCAACCGCCAGATCGCACGTTTCTT